GTTAAGACAGCGAAAGCTCACCAATAAAAGGTGTTTGTGAACGAGTTCTCATTGCCAATTTCCGAAGAAGATCGTATAAATCATGAGGCTCAGGGATAGCTCGATTTTATCACAGAGAACATTATTCTGCGTTTGGGATGCAGCGCTAACCGATACAGCGTCGAAAGAAAAACCAAGAGTGAGCCAAAGACGGCGTCAAAGTGGGCGGGAGGGCAGCTTCACTTGCTCACCAGGGAAGTCCGCCAACTTACCATGGAACTTTGAATGGAGACCTGGGTAGATCGATAGAGTCTATAAGGTTATTTACAAATATAGATAGCAAAACTGCAACCTGCATTTCACAAGCAACTTATGAGCAGGTAAAGTTTGTAATGGTGCAGTAGGGTGGAGGCTTGGTGGTGAGCTGTGAAGCATAAGCGAGGAATCGCATACGTCGAACCTTACCACTGAACCACCACGACTCGATTCGACGTATGCGATTCCTCGCTTATGCTTCACAGCTCACCACCAAGCCTCCACCCTACTGCACCATTACAAACTTTACCTGCTCATAAGTTGCTTGTGAAATGCAGGTTGCAGTTTTGCTACCTATATTTGTTAATAACTTTATACTCCATTCAGTGGTAAGTTGGGGACTTCCCTGGTCAGTTGATATCTTCAGTTAGTCCTCTTATTTTCATACTGTCCAAGAAACTTACGTTTACATTCGCCCTCGATGTGACTATACCCAGCGCGACAGGCACAAACACCTTTGACACATTCCAACGGTGAGTTTTCCGAGAATTCATCGGTTGAGTTGCGAGATGGAGAGCATTGAGCAGATATCTGAGATGGAATAAAATTTCAACAACCGAAGTAGCGTGTCAGTGTGAGGTGGATCTTGGCGCGCTCTAGCTCATTTTCCAGACCGTGATTGGCTAGAGACCAATCGAGCCGAACCAAGTCAGCCTGACACGCCCTGTCGATTCGGTTGTGTAGGACTAAAAGTCCTACAATATTCTAGAGCGACAGCCGACGTTCGAGTGGAGCTGACCATTTTGTCTTTCACACTAGCGTTCCCTTCTGTTTAGCGCTTTACTGGTGGAAATGAGGTTTGCGCCAGTGAGACAAGCACAATCGAACGCCCCCTCCGTACAGTCGTGGATCATATAAGGTATTTTGACGTGATTGGTTTATGACTATGTTTAACTACTTGATATACTCGTTTACAGGAGCAGGAATAGTACCGACTGGACCGACCGCATGAGTAGTAGTGGAATGGGCTAATAATCATGACTGTTGTTCCTCCTTCGTTATAGTACCTTTCCTACGCATCACATCAGAAGGAGGTGGGAATCAGTGATAAGGTGTCTCCGCCCTTTTCACTATCACGCCTTCAGTAAAAGTTTCGCCAAGATGCGTTTATACTTTGCGGCAGCGTCCACCACCGTTCTGAGCGTTCGGCAGTGCAAGCGAGTATAGGTATCAGTCTAGCATTTGCCAGCGTTTACCAGCGACCAGCAGCGTCCAGTGGTGGCGAGCAAGGGGCGATTGGAGGGTAGCAGACAGCTGGTGGAGTATGGGCA